CAAGATGGAGCAAGCTTTGTTGACTCAGAACCCTAAAACCCCGAAACTTATATTTTGTCGCGCAGGCCCCCTAGCCCCCCCCAACACCGGCTTCGTCGCCTTCCAGAGCCTGGCCAACAACGTGTCCACGTTCCGCATCAGCGCGACAGGTGTCGTCCTGGAATTGGACCAGAGCTCCAAGATCGTCAAAAAACTCAAGCTTGTGGGGCACCCCTACAAGGTGCGTCGTTGTTTCCACGTCGAACCTGCTGGATCTTTCAGCTCGGAATGTCAGCTCCAATTGCGTCTCTTTTTCTTTCATTTTCGACACACTTTCCTAAGTCCTCTTAGCACTAAGAAGAGAATTGCGAGATCATATGCAGATACCTGCACTGAGGTTGCGCCTGATGTTGGCAGATTGAAAGCTCAGGGCGCATTTAGTTCACTATTCTCTGCCATGCAACGTCGATCGATGAGTCCGCGATGGTCTGCTTGCAACGGCGGAATTACCATTGGTTGCTTCTAGTGCTGCACATGTGAAAGGAGCTCTACCAGCAAAAAAACCTTCCGACGTTGCGAGCTATGCTTGAAGTTTTATGCGGCTGTTCTTTGAGCTTTGGTCGGAAGGTGCAAACTTTCCGACACGCCAAGGTGCCGTATCTGATTGTTCTTACCGCTGTACTGCAGATCTACAAGAACACGGCGTTCGTGAAGGACCTGTTCACCTCCTCATTGGAGGTAGCCCGCTTCGAGGGCGCGTCCGTGCGCACCGTCAGCGGCATCAGGGGGCAGGTCAAGAAGGCCGTCAAGGTGGGTATAGTCGACATGCTTCTGTAAAAGCGTAGAGCAGTGTACCATGAAGGTTTGTACATCGACTTGACGAATATGACTTACAAGAGGCCAATGTTGACTGTGAAGCCTCTGAATTGGGACTTGAGCACCTTGAATGCAGAAACGCACTGCCAGGTCCATCGCTGGGTTGCGCAACATGTTTCCTTATTCAAGGTTGATTTGGCATGGGGACATCAGTGATTCTGAATTCCTGTGCAATACTGAAAGGAGCGCCTGCTCGGCGTCCTACCTAAGCCGGCACGCACCAATGATTGGTCTCGTCACAATTCAGCAGATACCAGCATGCCTTATGAATGTACCGTCTTTTCGTCGGGACGCTCGTACTGAGCCTCAATTCATTCTTGGAAGGGGTCGCACGTTATCTACTCCTCTCGTGCTGACGTCATCTTCTTCCCCTCGCAGATGGGCCAGGGCAAGGAGGGCGCCGCGCGCTGCACGTTCGAGGACAAGATCCTGATGAGCGACATCGTTTTCCTGCGCACCTGGGTCCAGGTCGCCCTCCCCCGCTTCTTCACCCCCGTGACGTCACTCCTGGACGGGCCCAACCGGCCGTGGCGCGGAATGCGCACTGTTGGGGAGATCCGGCGGGAGGCGGGGGTGCCCATTCCCGTCAACAAGGACAGCCTATATAAGGTGAGCGAATTTCTCTTCAATCTGGTTTGCCTCCTTCTTTTGAGGAATATGCAACCAGAAATCACTGCGCAGGACTTCGTGCCGCGCAGAGGCGCACGTGTTGCTCTCATTTCATCAGAACAGCCTCCTCAGAAATGGACAGGCGCATGCTTTTGGTTCTCGCGTGTGGTCCCCTCTATAATCGGTTTTCCACGCCTTCGTATGGCTTGACGGTGAGGGAGCCTTTTTGTTGTGCTGCACGGGCAGGTGCACAATCCTCCACCGCAGAGTAGGTTTTTCGAGTTGGCATTACAAGGGCCGTCTGCGACCTTACGGAAATCGTGTCGAGAGCGTGAATTTTGAAGTAACAGCTGTGCTTTGCTTGATCGTAGAAGATGTTTATAAATAGCGTCGAAGGAACCTCACTTCTATTGGCGGCTGACCATCTTCTTAAAAAGGCTTGAAAGCTGTGACAAGAAAGACTTCAGACTCAACTGTCATGTCACTTTCGCAGCCCGTCGAACGGTCTGCGCGCAAGTTCAACGCCCTTAAGATCCCAAAGGCGCTCCAAGCGGCGCTGCCGTTCAAGTCGAAGCCCAAGGTGGAGGAGCGGCGCAAGAGGAAGCTGCTCGACCAGTAAGGACTCTCTGCCTTCTCTGAGTTAAAACTTTCTTCATCGATTACTCTAGCTTCTCTCTGCGACCTTCGGACCTCCGCCTTTGAATAGGCGCAAGGCTGTAACCCTCAAGTTCGTAAGTAGTACTTCGAGCTCCGGCTGTCAGCTCGGCATCCGATAGAAAGTCAGGCAGGGAAAGGTCAACGACCTGCGACATGCCTAGATTCATAATATGTTCAAGCGGGATTAGCGGTTTGCTCTGAGCAGCAGGGCTTCGTCAAAAGCAACTCCCGACTTTGGCTGGTCGTTCGGTTAGCGTTTCGGAAAGACATCTTCGGATTCCTCTATGCCCGCGTCAAACCCGCAAGGACCTCTTGCAGTCGTGTTATATCCCCTCAATCCGAGGCGTCGTCAATCGAAGCATCTCGAGCGGCGTCTCTACCGGCTTCAACGGCAGCCTGCTCTGTCGGTCAGATCCAATGTCTGCCTCCTTACACCACCAAAGTAGACAACCGCGTACACTGCAAAGTAGACCATAGCTCCCCAATCTTACCTCTTCTCAGGAACGCTCTGTAAGATCGTCAGTTTCTCATCCGTGCTTTGAGTTCAATTGTCAGGCGGCACGCGGTGGTGATGGAGCTGCGGAGCGCCCTGTATACGCTTGTCCAGCAGCTCAACCTTGTGAAAGTTACTTGGACCTTGTCCTCCCTCCGAAACCCCAATCGCAAGAAATACCTAAACTGAACTCAAAAGAAACTTGTCCCACACGTCCAAATGCAGAGCAGAAATTGTTAGTCTTAGCTCAGTCTGACACTCGCCGTTTCTCCCTGCCAGGCGCCGCGCGGTGGTTATGGAGCCGTCGGAACGTCGCGCCTACACGCTGGTCCAGCAGCTGAACACGCTGCGCAACGCGAAGCTCAAGAAGCGCCAGGAGATGCAGGCGCGGCGGCGGGTCGCGTACGAGAAGAAGAAGGCGCTGGACGAAGCAGGGCGGCGCGCGTACAGCAAGGAGGAGCGGAAGAAGCGGTACGTCGAAGAGGGGCAGAAGGCCAAAAGAGCGGCGCAGGCGGAGGAGGGGGGGCGGCGGAAGAAGCGCCAGAAGCGGGATGAGGACGATTGAGGGGTGCTAGTTTGAATAGAGGGTAAGGAAGGAAGGGTGAAGAATCAATGGAGAGGGGATTTGTCAAGGGCCATGAACAGTCATGTGAGGTTGGTCATCAAGGGGTTCTCTCAGTGGGCTAGAAAGTACTAAGAGAGGGTGTGGAGACCCAAACTAGAAACAATCAGAAACGTTACTCGACTGATGAGTTTCCTGAAGGGCTCGACTCACAAGGATATTGCACGTCAAAGCCTCACGAGCGCTCGAGACAATTCAGCTTGTAAGCTTCTTCTGGTGATTGCGAATGTGCGTGGTGGCTCCAGAGATTCGCAGTCTGTTACGTTTGCTCAACTCTCCTCAACACAGTCAACACAGTCCATCTTGTTTTTTCCATGTACTGCTTTGAATGTTTGTGGCGAGAGTCCTTCGAGTGAAATTTACAGCTCACTTGACCACCTTTCTCCCGTTTCCTTCTTGGTATAGACCGTTCTTTTCTGAAAATGACTGGAAGCTTTTCGGATGTATTTATTTGTATGTTCTCTTGCTACTTGCGAGCAGACTTTGCGGTCCATTTTTCGCCCGCGGTCTCGAGCCTTCTTCCATTTTCGGAGATCCGAGGACTAAGTAGTCCTCGTATAAAATCTCAGATCTTAGAGTTCCTTCGGCTGTTTACAAGTCCCTGAGAACGACACCTGATCGAACTCATGTCTGCGTGGGCATGAACAGAATTGAGGTTGAGGCAAAATGCATCATTTCTTCGATCGAGCCACCACCTTGTCTTCGAGGAGCGGGATGCTAGCTAGTACAATTGTGTCGTAGCGATGATCGGCGTCACTTTGAGCGCAAAGTTCATCAGGGTGTTTGCACACCCACTGTGAAGGTACAGCCTCTTTGATTGTGTCGATCGCATTGTTCTTGAAAAGGTCGAGTTCGTGTCATTGGCCCAATCAGCGTTCCACTTCGCCTGCTCTGGAGATCATGGCTGTGCGCCAGGGTCGAGTCCGTCGGTCTTTGCTGGTTGCTTGAAGGTACCAGTTCTTGTTCAGTATCAATACCCGTTTTGTATCCATTGCTGCTCGCTGCTGCTTGCGGCTCTGATTGGATTTTCATAAGGCTCTTCGAGTTACAGATCTGACTGGACCAGATCATGGGTTGTGTTCCAGCGCCTTGCTGGGTGCTTACGCAAGGTGCCCGTTGGTGACCTCCAACTTTTGGCAATGAAGAGGAAAGTTCTGAGCATGCTCAGTGATGTTGCTGCTCAACAATTCCAAGCCACAGAAGGTATTCTAGGCCTCCAGACTAAATGTTTCTTTCAGATCGAATAATCTTCTAGCATTAGTTTATCGTCTTGGCGCATGTGATAAATTCATTGCACGAAAATGGTGTGCTTCTTTTGTGACCTCTTTGCTATGATGGGGTGCTTGATGGTGATATGTCACCTTACGATGCTTGCTGCGGAAATCGTAAAGCGGCGTATGGTTATCTCCTTGACTGATCTGGCCACTGCTTCAACGGGTTTCGACTTTTCGTTTTAAATGTGGCCAATCTATCTTGCCAGTGCTCTTTTAGCTGAGTCCTGATCTTGGTGGACAGCTGATGCAGCCCCCTCGCCGCGCATGTACTCACATAGCTTTTGCGGGTTGCAGGCGGTGCGCTCTCTGTTGAGTACCGTCCAGTTTATCGCTCATACAACTGCCATGCAGTCGTAGGGTAGGGTATCGCACATTCTTCCAGCCTGATGTAAGAGCTGCATGAATTTTTTCAAAGCAACCCAGTAGAATCTTCAGTTGACACGCGTGTTTTGCACAAGATTGAAGCAGTTGAGTTTTGTCTGTCCTCATACTGACTTTTTCTACAAGATTATTCCCTGGTTGAAGACTTGCGTCAAGGCCGACAACTACGGGGCCATGTTGGAAGCGCGGATATCCGACGGGCGAGCCATCGCAATCTGTTAAGCTCTCGCTTCTGACCAATCTTACTGCAGGCAGACTGCAGTGGTTTTGCCTCTGCTAGTAATGGCTATGGTGCATGTGAGGAAAGACTTGATGTTGCAAGCGAAAGCCCTGCAGAAGCTAATCAAAGCAGAAGTCATATCCGTTAGTCTTCTATCGGACTTTCTGGCACTGAAGAAGGCGGCGATGAGACGCTGTCCTCAACTAGCCGCTTACAAGTCATACGCTCGAGCCAAGAAAATTACTGTACCTGTTGAAAAGACAGTGCTGCTTGCTTTCTATCCTGGTGCACAGTTTCACCGCTTGTAATATTCTAGGAAAGATCATTTTGCGACTTCATCGAGCGTCGCTCCTTTTCACCTTACGGGTGTCGCGAAACGTCTCAGCGTTTCGAAAGGGCTCACCATTCTTCAAGGGGTCAAAAGTTCTCGGTTGTACCAGCCTGATGGTCCCACTGTAAATTTGAGCAACTTTGTGAAAGTCTTGGAGGAAGCCACTTCACTTGTTCGACTGATTCCAGCAAGCTGGAGGCTATGTATGATGGAAAAGGCGGAACGAGCTTTCCCGCTCAGGAGAAGCTTCCTAAGTCGAAGCCACCATTGATAAAGTAGCGCGACTTTTTCTGACCAGATCACTCCGTTCCTTCAGGTCAGTTTATAGCATGTTTCCGGAGGAATGTTCGGCTTCTAGAATAACCTGTGAGGACTGAATTACAATATCTTCTCCTTTCGCCCTTTGGCCGTGATCTCGAAAGTTGTGATACTGAGGGTACCTCTTAGCCTCTGAAATGTGAGCTGAAGCCATCATCGCTCTCATGAGCGGTGGCTAGTAGCTCGTAGCTGTAATCATCGGCATCATCTCGAGCGCAGCGCTCAGCAGGCCCTCGGGGCCCACTGAAAAAGATACAGCGTCGTCTTCCGCGCAGCCGTCGTTCATGAGAAAGTCAGCCCTTGTCACTGGCCCGCTTTTATTTGGATTGCCACTTCACATGCTCTCGAGATCACGGCCCGCCTTCCTGCTTGTCTCAAAACGAGTGGTATCAGAGTCGGCCTTTTTTTGCCGTCGCTGTATGCTGATCCGAGCTGTTTCTGTTCGACCTTGAGTGTCCAGTTGACCAGCATACCGAGAAGGTTACATTGATCTCCTAAGTGCGAAGTAGTAGTCTTTTCAATTGGCTGCTCGGATCGTTTACATGTTTCTTGCTCATTGCTTGGAGATCGGAATATCGCTCTAGACCACTTGGATTCTGTCCCCTTTGCTGCTGGCCGGATTGCGACTTTGACCAACAATATTCGGAATATATCCCGCTCTTTCAGGGTGGACGAGTTCAATCCTCCTGTTCAAGTGTCTCGCACGACTTATCTCTCCATTACCTTCAATTTCTGGCTATGAAGAGAAACGCCCAGGGATCCCTCAGGGTCGTCGTTGAGTGTCAGGATCCAAGCCACCGAAAACAGTCATAGTCGGCCAGCTAGAGTCCGTCTTTGAAAATGATTCTGTAACGTGTATTGCTCCTCGAGGCATGTGACAGCACCTCACAGAGGGACGTCTAACTTCTTTTTGATCCGACTTCGATGGGTGCTGATTGGGGGGGCTGTGGCTGATGTTGATCGCTGCGGGAACCCATAGCCGCAATCTACTTTTCTCTCAACGTTCAAATTCTTACTGCTCTAGGCTGGCATGGCCAGCTTGTCGAATTTGTTGAGGGGGAGCCTTTTTGGGTAAATTGGCTCACTCAACGCTGCCCGCGCGTCTTCGCGTCACTTTCAGCGTTTGCAAACGGTGCCCTGCGTACCACCCAGAGGTTTTCCGTGGCTCGTTTCTGCTGCAGTAGTTGCGGCTTTCTGTAATGGTGTCGGTTGCTTTTCCAGCTTGCTGTCTGAGCTGGGCGTCTTTGGAAAAGACCCATCAAGCTCACAGATGGGTACCGGTAACCGTGTAATGGGAGAATTGAGTCTTTATCAGCCCTGCCGAATTTGTGTACCAGCCCCGGTGTGAGCTTGTGATGTACGGCCGCAATTTGCGGGCCACGTGGGCGATCGTCAGGCAAGCAATACCAGGATATGCTGGCATCCCGGTTCTCACCAGAGTATCCGTACTGCAGGCAAAATGCAGTTGATTTGCATTTAGCCGATTGTGCGGTTTGGACGAAACTGGGAGTGCGTTCTCGTTAAACCTGAGGTGGGTTGGATGAACTTTTGCAAGACTTGCTTGGCAATGACGAAGGTGTGCGATGAGACGATATGCTCAGAGGGGCACTTGACTTCCTACCCGCGAAGCCAAAGAGATCATCGCACCTGTGGAAACGTACTTGCTGCCCATCGCTTCGCGAATGCGTCCAGAATGATAACACATCCCAGCGTACCAGCGACTAGGGACCCCTTTCGAGACCAAGCAATCGAACTTCGGCTAAGGGCACTGCATGCGCTTTCGGATGTTCCGTTCGACTGGCTTTATTCCTCTAAACGCCTGCTCTTTTGTGCCGTCCTCTAGTTTTGATTATCTTGTTACGACGAAAGGACAAAATCAAGCGACTGTATCAAGCTTCGCTCCTTTTTGTCCGTAGAGTGCTGGCGAAGCATTCCTAATGGCGCTCGGCTTCCTTCGCGGGGTCAAGCGTTTCTGTTCCACGAGTCTCATAGTCCCATGCATCGAAATCTACGAGCAGGATTTGGAGGAAGTCACTTCACTTTGTAACTTGTCCGATCAGAAAGGCTATGATAAAGACACTCAATGAGCTCAGCCGCTCGATTAACACTTAAAGGAAAACTCAACAGCTTGAAGGAGGCTAGAGCTCCTTGTTCGTACTGCTGGCAAAGATTATACAACCCTCTGATCGTATTTCTGCTCTCGTAGTGTGGCCGGCTTCTGGCCCCCTCCGTCTGACTAGTAATCGCCCAAGGAAAGGTCACACTTAACAAACCCACATGGCAAGCAATCCCAAAACTGGGGGCAGCCCGGCTGCCCGGAACCCAGCCTGAATAATCCCTTCGCTTTCCTTCTGGCAGGCGTAGAAGCTGCCCAGGTCTCTTGGATTTTTCAAAACCAGATGCCGCTTGATGTTGCCCGGCAGCGAAGGGGCCAAAGCCGTATGTCAACTTCGTAGTTTTACTTGGGCAGACGGGCCAAATCCTCTTTCGAGGGCCTGGTCGAGCCTGATTTTCCGTTGTCCTAGAAGGGTAGGTGATTGTCTCACCTGTGCGTTGTGAAAATTGGCAGCTTGCTTTGCATCGGGGGATAGCTTTAACACGGGTTTGAGACGTCCAATCGCTATCGAACGCTTTAGACGATGGTTTTGTGCGTGCGTCGCAGTGGTGAGTTGCGATCCAGCCCCAAGGCCAACAGTCGGCCCCTGAGCACACGCTTCTCTTAAGGTTGAATTGTCAGCCACCGAACGATCTCTTTCCTGGTCCCAGTATTGTC